AGTTTTGCTTGTGAAGAATGGGTATTTTGAAGTGTTTAATGGTCTAGTAGTGGGATGGGGGGGACTTGTGATGGATTAAAAATGCAAACTACCACCCCTGGAGTCATCTGGGAGCAATTGTTCACTTCTTTTGCTTGGCCAAGGAATGGCCATACTCCAGGAATGGGCCAGGGCCCATAAAAACAGCCTAGTGGGTATTTTAATAAAAAGCTACCCCCCCAAAAAAAACATGTGCATTAAAGTACTGCAGGAAGATAAAAATGCTGGACAGCTCCCAAAACCTCAATCCAGGCCACCGCACCTCTACTGCTGCCTGCTTGCCAGACTTCTAAAGAAACAGTAAACCTGTATAGGAGAGACAAACCAGATGGATGTCAGAGGGCACCAGCTAGATGGCCTTTTGCTATGCTGCAGTCCTTGAAGCTGGCCTTGACTTCCTGGCTGATAAGCAGCCTGTGCTGCAGCAGTTGCATTGTGTCACCAAATTCTCCTAGCTTTATGCACTGTGGAGTGCAGTGATCATCAAGCATCTCCGTTGTTTTAAATCTCTGCCTTCTCACAGAGAAAGGAGGAGCTACCAACCAATCATTTCTCCCTGAATTCTAAGCAAACCGTATTAAAATGTCACATTTCTCACAGACCTATTCTTGTACTCACATCACTGCTTTAATCTTTCACCTTTCTTATTGGGTGGCACAGGATAGGATGCTGTAGGAGGGCAGGCAGGCAGGTATAAGTGTGGTTATTTGAGCAGAAGGCGGAAGCGCAACAGGCGGTAGCTGTTGTTTCAAGTGGCATGAAGTCTCTACAGAAGATACAGATTTGACAGAGCTCTGGGCAGGAAGCGAGGCCATCACAAAGGAGTCTGTGGCGGTGCTGATGTCACTGTCTGCCTTAGTGGTGAGAAATGACATGATAGCAGGAATAGGAAAGGAAATGGACTCAAACAAGTGAGGTTAAATACCCCAGCATTTATCAAGTGGCATCGCGGCGTACTTTCTTAGAAATCGATGCCGTGCTTGGCCGTTCGACAGTCACCAGCTTATGAGGTACGTAAGATGATTGAAAAACTTAACAGTATGCGGGGAGAAGATACATGGTACAATCAACACCTTCTCAGTTCCTTTCTTCTTACTTTAGGCCCTTTCAATAAGAAACAATTGGTGGAACACTTCCTGCAGTGGGCTAGGCCACTTCCATCTGTCCCATGCAAGGGCCACTTCTAATATTACTTTCAAAAGCTGCTCTTTGATGCCACAAACCTTCAGTGGTAGGGCATGCAGTAGCAGAACTTGGGTTGATTCTCCCTTCAGTACCAGCTTTTTGATATGCATCCTCCTGGACAATAAGCTGCAAGAGAAATATAAATATCTATTAGTGTAAAACAACATAAAGACAACTGATCAGTCTTCAACTCTTGCCTGAATACAAAGGGCTTTGTCCATCATCAGAAAATAACAGTGGAGGCTAGCCTTGTCTGGAGAGAAAGGGGGTTTTACAGCCTGGGAGCAGCCACTATCTTGGTTCCTTCCGATATGTGCCTGTGAGGATAGCTGTACTGAAAGAAGGCATTTCCCCAAAGATTGCAGAGCCAAGGAAGGTTTTCAGAGGGAATTCTGGCTCTTTGGACAGCTATCTTGGGTCCAAGCTGCAGAAGAGTTTATTGGTCATAAGCAGCACTCTAAAATTGTGCCCAGAAACAGTGAAGCTGCTGTAGTAAGAGAGTGACATGTCCCCTGTCACTGGTCTAGTCAACAATATGATGGTAACGTTTTTGCATGATCAATATTGCCAAACACTTTTTGAAGGCAGTCTCACACAGGGCAAATCATAGTTGTCTATATGGAGTCTAACAAAGCCATGCGTTATTGCGTTACATTTATTCTCACCCAAAGAAAGGAATATCTCTTGAGCATGGAATAGACACTTCAGAGAATGCCCCCATCCTTCAGCATTGCCCTCTGTTGTTTTAATTGTGCCTTTGGGATGCATGAAGGTCCTGCTAACCTTGGACCACAGCGCAGGACGCCCCAGACTAGCAGAGCTCAGACCAAGCTACAGCAAGCCTCTTCTTCTGCTCCAGAGCCCTCACTGTCTCCGGTCGGTCGTGTGTTAGATACACTAAACAGTTGCAAGGCAATGCCGTGAGTCACAGCTGAGATATTCTTTTCCTCCCGACGCTGTATTGCTGGCAGTTTAACCACAGGGCAGCCTATGTCAACAGGTGCAGTACAGTTAGCCACTGTAAGCAGCCAACTCACCTCCTGCTCTTAGCATTTTTAGTGATGTTTTCTTCTTTTCTTTTCTTTTGTTTCTTTTCTTTTCTTTTTTTTTGAAGTTTGAGTTGCCTTTACCATTCTGGGAAGGCAAGGTTATAAATATCTTGCAGACAAAACATTTAGCCATTGGGCATTCTGTTTCTAATTGATAGTAGCTGCGCAGATGGCAAACTAATCTATAAACAAGTTGTTTTGAGCTGCAGGGAGGGGAGAGGATTATGGAAAGATAGCAACAGATCATATACTCCGAGAAACATCTTTAGTCTTATTAATAATGTAGATCAGCAGCACTCATGATGAAAGTCTCTTTGGTTACCCTCCAAAATAGAGTCTGATAATGCAGATAACAAGATTGGGTCCCATGAACAAAATGAGGAGCAGGTCTTTTGTAATGTTAATGACTTTTAGTGACCCATTCAAAACCAAACCCCTTAAAATACTTTGTAGAGACACTTCAACACAACATAATATTCCTGAGGAAATTTGTCTCTTTCTTGGCTATAGTAAGGACTTCAGCTAAGGTTAGAAAATTTGGGAAGCCTGAGTGATGGTGATGATATGTTCCTTAACTTTGCAACTTTGAGGCATGTTGGATGACAATATCCATTATTCCAAGCTACCATGACCACCTATGGGTGGGGATAATGGGAACTGTAATCCAAGCCTTCCAAAGGTAGCCAGATTAGGAAAGCCTCTTTATTGAAGCAGGAGAATGGCCTCAGGACTAAGAGCAGAGCCATGGGGTGCCTCCTGAGGTCAGGAAACAGTGGCAGTTCATTGTCGGGTTGATGATAACGTTTGCTCCCCAAATCCTACTTGTTGGACTTGCAAGCTGGGAGGTCCTGTTGACAGGGAGTGACATTGGATGTCCTGAAGAAGATACAGGCATTCCAGGCTTTTCTTTTCTCAGAGCCTACCCATCAAGACATGTTGTTACCCCAAAGAAAGGATAAGATGTTGCCTCCCCCAATCACAGAAGTGAAGTAGATTGGGGGTTGGTGTTTGCTTTATCACTGATGAAGTACCAGCATCTCCCTTCACACCTGAGGGACATACGCCAGGGAGCCAAGAAACAAACTGCTCTGTCCCTCAACCGGAGGAGGAAGGCCTACTTTCTGCCCCCTCTTCACTACCCAGAATCTGCCACCCCAGGTAACCGCCTCACTCTGCCTGATGATAGGGCTGGTCCTGTGGCCCACTTCCAAGATGTCATTTGCTTTCAGTAATACAGTGAGAGGGGCTGAGGCAACTGGCCTTGAGGCTTCTGTAGAATGCCATGTGCTGCTGGAAGGGGAAAAAATGTAAGATGACTTTGATTCCACACAACTCACCCATTTCCGTGGTCTTCCCCTGGGCTTTTTTTCAGCCATGGTGTGCACCTGTAATAAAGAAGAAACAAATCACCAGCAGCACAATCTCCCCATTGGGCAGCACCCTGTCTTTCCAACCAAAGCCCTAAACATCAGATCTTCTTGGTGGGTAGAAGCTAGTGGTTCATGAAGAAAAGCCAATTTATTGGGGAGGTGTGTGTGTGTGTATGTGTGGGGGAGAGGTGGCAAATGATGTGGCCAGTAAAATAATGTTACAAGTTACATAACTAGGGTAATACCCTGTTTCCCCGAAAATAAGACCTAACCTGAAAATAAGTCCTGGTATGATTTTTCAGGATGCTTGTAATATAAGCCCTACCCCAAAATTAAGCCCCAGTTAAGTGAAACTCCACCCTCCACCACTGTGCAGCAACCAGAAGAAGATGACATGACTATTTGAATAAATGTAGATTGTTGTACATTAAAAAAAATTTAAAAATTCCCTGAAAATAAGACCTAATGCATTCTTTGGAGCAAAAAATAATAAATTCTGTGAAAATAAGACCTAATGCATTCTTTGCAGCAAAAAATAATATAAGCTCCTGTCTTGTTTTCAGTGAAACTCAATAAGTAGATATATTTCAGGGTACTGAGTACACAACAAGGTTATTTTTTTCAAAAAGAATGAACTTACTTTAATGGTGTAATGAGCATCATATAGTTACTTTCATTAGTTACTTTAAAAGGAATTTTAAGGCATTTTAGAGGCATTTGGCAGGAATTTTTATGCCACTGTTCTATTAATCCTAAAAACTCCCCACTCCAAAATAACATAAAATAATGAAAAAGTAATTAGCAACAGAATTAGTAACATAACAAGTAGTTTGTTCAACACTGCAACATAACAACAACGGGGTTCCTTTCAAACACTGCAACAAACGAGAAGAATGAATTTATTCTGAAAAGTAACATTCTGAGAATTCAAAGAGACACTGGGACAATCCCAAAAATGTACTGCCAACAAGGTAATTAAAGTGGAGAAGAATGGGACTGAGGAAAGAATGAGCGTGAGGGAAAGGAGGACTGGCTGCAGGTTCAAGGGTGCCACGGGGAAAATGTTCTCTGGCCAACCACCTCCTCCCTCAGTGACTTCAGTAATGAATAATTTCATTATTCTAGGGTTCTATGATCTGTCTGTAATGGCAGTGCTCCAGGCAGCAAAAGATGTCTATGTCTATCCACTGAAAAAGCCAGAAAAATGTGAAGCATGAAGCAGCTGGGTCAGTGTAAAAGAGGGAAAGAAGGTCAGATCCACCTGTGTAGCATTGCTTAGAGTGACTGCTAAAGACAAGGAGGACTGGGTGGGTGGGTGGTAGTGGGAGTCAAACAAGGCCTTCAGGCTCAGGGGCTGTGGCAGCTCTCAAATGCTGACACTGGTCTGAGGAAATGGGTTGGGATGACATAGACATGGTGTAGGAAGCTTATGTGAGCCTTCCGACAGGTGCGGAAAGGTACCAGCCAGAGGATGGCTTTATTCATTAGGATCTCCCAAAGGACATACTGTAGATGAAGAGCAGCCCTTGGAAGGGGATGAGACCGCATTAATAGACCAAAGGGAACAACACCTGAACCTAGAGTTAAATGACCCAGGTGAGAATTGTAGTAAGCATGTTAGTAAGTAAGCAGGATCCATATGGGTGCACCCAGAAAGACAAGGGCCATGAGTGTGATAAAGATCCATCTGTGACATGAAAAATCAGAGGACTCCAACTTGGCATCATGGAACAAATGTGAGGGATAAGGGAAAATAAGAGAGAAGAGGAAGACCATGAACCAGAATGTAGAGGGAGTCTTGCCCAAACCAGGACTGAAGCTTGGGATGTCAGAGGAGGGTATGAATGATGATAGCAGAGAACGAGAAACTGAACAGCTGGACAACAAAAGCAGCAGGGAGGCAAAGAGTTTGATGAATAGGTGGGTTACCTGTAAGCAGCAATAGAGCTCGGTGATTAGAGGCATGAACCGAAAGGCCAGGCTTCCATGACAAAGCACTCGCTCTCCAGGGAGAGAGCCCCGGGTTCAATCCATGGCATCTTCAGGTGGGGCTAGAAAGGCTCTTGGCCAAACCCTGGGGAGCTGCTACCAGTCAGGGTACATAACATGAGGCCAGTGATTTGACAGACTGTCCCTAAGATGTATGGCATTTGATCACTTTGAAAGCTTTAAATAGAGCTAGAAAGGAGAAGAAGCCAAAGGGTCTAAGGAGACCTTCTCCCCCACTTCTGTTTCTCCTTCTCCAGGAAGTAATGAACTGCCTGAGATCCTTCCGCCACCAGCAGACATTGGTTCATTAGGGCAAATGAAACACCGCCGTATCACAGGCTCAGGATACTCCCTGCTATCCTCCTCCTGCCTTCTTCTCAGTGTTCATGTGAGTGCATGCTAGCCTGCTTCTGTGTGTGTGTGTTGTGTGTGTGTGTGTGTGAGACAGAGACAGAGACAAATAGACAGGGAGAGAGGACCGGTGTGTGCCTGAGTGTATGAATACTTGCTATTATCTGAGCTCTGCCAATCATTCCTGGCTCTGCTTATAAGTTGGCTGCTGAGCCTTCCACCCCACCAATCCCAATGGGCACCAGCTTCCCCTGCCTGCCACTCATTCGCTCACCATCTGTCCACTACCAGTATTCAACTTCTTGCTTCCTTTTGGCCTTCCACGTGGTTTCTTCGGTGGCAATGGCCCAGCAGACTCCTGGTTGGACAAAGTAAGAGAATTTACTCCTAGAAAGGTAGGATTTGTAATAGAATACAATGAAGAAACATCAGAAAAGAAAAGGAAACAGAAATTCGGCCAGTGCAGGCAAGAAGTTAAGCAATCCAATTGCTGCAACCTCAGTGTGTCTTGAGAACAAACTCTTCACTAAAGAATAAATAACAAAATACTGACATTTAAGCTTCAAAAGTGGTTGGTAAGTCTTAGAATGATAGCTGACTGATTTCTTACAGTGGTGTTTGTTCAAATACAGATCAAGTTTTGTCTTATTTGTATGTACATCAGGTTTTAAGAAAAAGAACACTTTTCCAAAATTAAAAAAGGCAGGCCAGATTTTTCATTCAGGGGAAGAAAAGTAATTGTTTCCAGTTAAGAAGCAGCACTTTTTAAAGTGAGCATGACGAGAACGAGTGCACGTGCATGCGCGCATGCACACATACACACACACACAATCAGAAGCAAATTAATGTGGAAGAGTTCTGAAGCAAATATTCATGAGTACCAGAAATGTGGCCAATTTTATATTTTCTCCAAGCAGACTTTAAAAGAAATATATACTGAATCTGCATTTTAATGGTGCATTTTAAAAAATAGTTCAGAATTCAGGTGCTTCAGAGCACTTGCCATCTCTGAATTTAGCAAGCTTAAAATAACAAAATCACATAAAGCAGCCACCTGTCAAATACATGTGACAATTATGTGTCAATTTCAAGATACTGATATTAAATACTGCTGGGATTAAACCATCAAACATTGTTAAATATAGTGGAATTTCCAAGTTATCTTTGGGAATCCCAAGTTCTTTGGAATTTTATCAAGATTTCTCAAAGAGAAGAACATTTTCTCCATCACTACTGATTTTCCACTGCATTGCATAGCTGCGGTGGGAGGAGGGCGATGCTATGGAAATGCTAGGACCCACACAAAATACTAGGATATTTAGGGCAAAAGGTACAATAGTGTTTCCAACCCCACCCACCCACCTGAAAAAGGGAACCAGGCTGGTAAATGGATCTTACTTCAACAGTAGTGATGGGTCAGTAGCCTCCATCATCACCTGTGGGATGGAAGTGGGTGAGTTTATGAAGAAGTGGAGAAGTCAGCCCCATCTTCCAAAAGAAGGGAAGGGCCCATTGCCCCCTCCATGCCACCCAGTTGCCTCCTCCATGCCACCCAACATTTACTGCCTGAGGGGAACCCCTCAGTCAGCCTCATGGTGGAGCTGGCATTGCCATTTTCCATGCCCAATGTGCGGTAATGAAGCCCAACACTGCTCCCCGCAAAGTGTGTATAACACTCTTAAAAACATGCCCACAGAATGCTTTGCCGTTTGTGCCCTGCAGATGTTCTTGGACAGATTTTGTTGGAAGGGTCTGGTGATCCCTGCCTCCATTATCCATACTGTCAAGTATCAAATGATCACCGAACTTCAGTGGCCAAATACTGCAGAGAATCAACTCACAGATACCATATGTTGAAATTAAACATCACTGTCCAGCCTAGTTGTCAAATACTGGGAGAATATTTGAATAAATCAAAGCAGCATCAAGAGAATATTAACATTTGCCAGGAAGGAAAGAAGGCAGGAAAGCATCATGGCAGATTCATTATTATAATACAAAGTTTATTAAATAATGGAGATAGATTTCAATTTCTTCTCCTAAAAGGTGTAGGCTAACATGGGCCTTTCTGGCGCGTATACTTCATCACAGGAACACCTGTCAGTGATGTCCACTAAATGCACCCTAAGTGAACTCCAGGAAATATGGGTATACTTGGAGGTTAGGATATAGCTTGATCCATTGGCTGCACAATGCCTAGTGCCCAATGACATTTTTTTGGCCCTGTGGGCCCAGGTGTCTTCAGGGAGGTGCTGAAAGGACAAACAACACAGATATTTGTTGCACAGCAAGTGGGTTATAAAGCATATGAGTAATGTGGCATTTTGAGCAGTGGAGAGAGGTGTCCGCAGAACAGAATGGGGCCATGTTTCACACCCAGGGAAAGTTATTATTGGACAGGTGGGTGTCTATGTGTTCACTTTTTATGTAATTGAGTAGTTCCTTTATTACAGTCAACATATCAGATAACAGATATATGTGTACATGTGTGAATATATATGTTTATATTACCTACATTTTACTGTAAATGACTTCATGGATTTAAGTGGTACATGACTATTCTAAAAAGAGATTTGAGGCAAGATTTTGTCTGTTCACACACACACAAAGAGGAGTGGAAACATCCTGCTTTCTAAAGCACATTGTGTGTGTGTGTATGTACTCCAGATTCATCAAAATCTTCAATATACTTGTAATTAAAGAAGTTATTTGCTTGACGTAATTTTGTCTCTGCGCAACCATCCGACTGCTGACAACAGGATGTCTGTGTAAACAGCACTTTGACTGGTTGTAACTGGTGTCATTTCAAAAGCCCCTCACCACCCTTTTTTCCCCATCTCACTTCTCCCCCCACCTCATCTTCCCTCCATGTAGTCAGTACATATAAATCTGTTAACTATTGTCCTCTAAGCGGTCAAGGAAGTGAATGGTAATCCACAGACACTCACACATGACATAAATCTGTTAGTATTTTAGGTGTTACAACTCCTATGTTTTGATTTTTGTTACACATCTTTCTCTCTAGACTCTTCCTTTCTCCTTTTATTCTTCAGACTTGGACCACCATTATAAGGAAAAGGAACTTATTTGGAATATTTTAGCTACTGGCTCAGTAATAAAAGCCACTTCACTACCATGCAAGATTTCCTCAGGTGTTTCAGACTTAATGTCGTTTTAGGAACTCATGATAAATTAAAATGACCCCCAGTCTTCTTTGGAGTTGGAAAACATGCTTCTAGTGCCCCTTGGCACCAGTGCTGACTTTCCCAGTTTATTTTAGGCCAAAATGATCAATGCTACAGCAGGCAAATAAGTTTCTGTCTTGTCTTTCCCAGGTACAGGCACATACATTGCATGCATGTGCATAAGCGTGCACACAGACACAGGACATAGATACATACATAATTTGGGCCCCCTAAATTAAATGTAACCAGAATTACTCATGCAGTTCAAAGTCTCAGTCTTAGTCATTCAACACCACCCTGGTTATGACCAAAGAATGGCCATGAGTGGCCTATAAATTTTAAGGTGGTGAAAAGGCACAGCTACTAAGGATGCAGACATTTACCTGTGGCTGCTTTCTAGGCCGCCCTCGCTTTCTTTTCGGCAGCTCAGTCGGAAGGGCTGGTCCTTGGCCCACTGACTTTCCAGAATTAATCATGGTACTTCACCAGTTCTCCAACGGCTTTTCTTTCTGCTGTATTCTAAAGCAATAGATGAGAAAGAATGAGAGATTCAGAGGGGCAGGCAGGCAGATTGTCTCTTTCCTCCCTCTCCTTCATACTTCTTGCATTAGCAATAGGTACTTTTCGCCACCGAGCTCTACCAGGTGAAAGCAGCAGGCCATCACATCTGCGGCACATTCAAGCCTTTGGGGGCTTTCAGCATCTCCACTAGCTGAGCCTCAACACAAACTCTCATCCAGCCACCCCACTTTTCCCTCTCGTCTCTAACTATTCTTCATAAATACTCCTCGACTGCACTAGCCCTCTCCGACTGTGGCCATAGTGGCTAGGAGAGGATGACATATAAGGTGCAACACAGAGGAATGGCATGGGGGGAGGAAAGACTGGCATCTGAGAAGGTAATGTGAAATCCAAAGGAACTCATGGGAGAAGGGGGTTATCTTGTGCGTGTGTCCTTGACAACCCTGTGTGAGAACTTCCAGAAGATGGGTGCTGTGGGGGGTTCAGCGAGAGAAGCAAGACACAAACCAACATTAGGCAACTCACTGGGATTTGTGCAGAAGAACTTGGACATTTGTTGCACTCAGAGATAGTTGCCATAACTCCTACAGCAACACACTGTTCTCCACCCCCCCACCTTTTAAGTAAGGGGCCGCTTCCTACAGTGTTGAAGGGACAGGAAGGGACAGGAACACTAGGTTGAGTGAGCATCTGCCATTCCTTAATGGTCTTCCTCCTCAATCTTTTTCTGCATAAAGAATGCCTTAAGAACTTCAGCAGCTTCCTAGCAAAGACAATTGCCTGGTTTCTACCATACACTAGACACCCACCTGTTAAATGCAGTAAAGAGGGAGGGGGAAAGGCAGGAGTGAGCTTACCTGCCGAGAACGTGGGTCCCTCCACTTGCTGCACCCCAGCACACCCAGGCATCTGAGGCTAGAGAGGGAGGGAAGGAAGAAAAGAGAGAGATTGAGTGAGTCACCCTCTTCCTGCCTTGGGGAGGTGGGGGGAGAAAGCTCGTTTTGAAAGCGACACATGTTCATCTCAGGAGCTTCGCAAGTTGTGGTGCCCATCTGCGCTCCACTCCAGATAGTGACACGGAAAGCAGATTGAGCCTTGGTCTAGCTCTGATCTTGTGATGGCAGTCGCGAGCTGCAGCATCAAGTGAAACTAGTTAAAGTTCACTTTTTAACTCAGCTGGGATCTCGTAACAGACTAACAGAAAGGCAAAAGAAAAAGCCCCAACCACCAACCCGACCAGAGACAGACGTTTGTTCCCGTGTTCAGTACTAATACAGTTTCGTTAGAGGACAGACACCACAATATGAATAGACAGGGCAGTGTTTTCACACATGAGCCCAGCATCCAAGAGAGGACTGGTTCTCATTTCTTGAAAGTTTCTTCTTATTTGAAAAAAAAAAATGAAAGTTCTTCTAGGTATAAGATGATGCATAGTGATTCTGAGCCCACATGCAAAATTTTAGGGGCTTTTGCCTTACGTCTGAATTGACAGTGACACACAGGGACTCAAAACTTTTCTAAATTACAGTCAAGCAGGCTAGTAGGGGTTAAGCTTAGGGCAGGCTCTCAAGGTAGATGTCTCAGCACCTTGTTGGCCACTGTCATGAACAACAGGAAGCATGGGAGATCCTTCTCTTTTTCCACTAGAGTCCCCATTCCACCAGGAACGTAGTGAACTCAGATTTTTGTCCCGGTGGCCCAGCCTTGTCTGCTCTGACTGCCAGGAGCATTCCAGGATCTCGAACTGAGATCTTTCCCACCTCAGCTCTTTCCTGCCCACTTAACTGGCAATGCCAGGAATTGAGCCTAGAACCTTCTGCATGCAAACCATATGCTCTACCACTGAGCTATGGTAGGACATCCCTAAGAGTGACATCCAGCCAGCTATGTATACCACAGGGTATTGTACTAGACATACAGCCTTCCTTTTTGCTGTTGTTGTCTTCTAGAAAGGAAAGGGAATGGAAGCAGCTTGAAGCCTTTGTATCTGGGAACTGTGAAGACCGAAAGGACTCATTAAGTACCACATTCCCTGAAACAGCTGCTGTTATCACATTCCAAAGTGGGAAGATGCAATGTTGTTGGACTGCAGCTCCCACCGTTCCTCACCATTGGCTGGGCAAGTCAGGGTTGATGGCAGAAGAGGTCCTACAACAGCTGGGGGATCCTGTGGTCTACATCCTTGCTCTGAAGGAATAGATTTTTTTTTTTTTGGAAATGGGATGTCATCAGGAACTATTTTGCATTTTACCTGCTATTTCTGCAAGTTATTAAATCATTTCAAAGGTAGCAGAGATGGGAGTGGTGATCTCTTTCTTATGATTCATTCTGCCCTCTTGTTTTCTCATCAACATGCACAGTCTTTTCTTTACGTGCATGAAAATTCACATCATTTTTAAACATTATCTCTGTTCACAAGAATACCACTTTGTATGCTTTTCACACTGAATTTTGCATGCATTTTAATAATACACTGCACACTTTAATACAAATTTTAGTTATTTTATTTTTGTGGAGAGAACTGCACTGCAATACTTGGAGGAGTGCTCAAACAGAAAAAAAACTGCATCCCAATCTACATTTCATTATAGAAAGTTGGATTCAAGTCAGTTCACTTACAAATGCAGATAGCATCCCCCACCCTACCTCAAGATAGCACACTGATCCCATAATTTAATTTAATTGAATTAAATTGTATGTAGGAGGCATCAGTTTCTACCCATAGCCTTTCCACAGCTTGGAAAGTCCTTTGCTCAATATTTTGAGTGAGCTGATGTCATCAGATTAGACAGTAGTGTGTAAGATTGGCCAGTTTCATGAATCCACACCTAGCAGCTTCACATATGGACCCAGCATTCCAGAATTTCCTCCCATAGAGATGTCCTTGTGAATTCCCAAATATCTCCTTTATCAGATGTGAAGAAATTGTATGGACCTATGGCTTATAGTATACAAGCATGATTGTCTTGCTTTTTGTGTAGCCAAAACATCACACAACACCACCTGCTTGCCATTCCTATGTCCATTGATATTGATTGACTCTTTTGCAGCTTAAGGGCCCTAACAGACCAGCTTCACCCTAAGAGATGAAATCAGTCCTCCTTGTAGAGGTCCCTGGTCCTAGCTACAGAGAAGATGTATATGACCTACTGCCAGACCATGCTTGGTTCTTCAAATACACCCAAAGGATAAAGATCTGCTCCATGGAACTGGGCCACTGTTTAGGCACCCAGATAGGAGGAGTGGAAATAAATCTTGCATTAGTACTACTAGCACAGAAACACCTTCAGCGTTGGAGGGGGGGAATAGTTTAAGTTGGCACAGCCAGCAGTGGTGGGAAGGCTACTCAAGACAAGCAAAGACAGGCTTGTCTTGTCATGCTCAGGGTGATCTCTATTTCATTCCCCAGCAACAATAACTGAACACACACGCACACGTAGCTCCCTGTGGCCTGACATAGCGCTAGGCTTTCCATTCTGTGCAGCTGGTACTGGAAACAATGACAGCTTCCTGATTTCACTCACATCGAATGATCTATGGTTCCCACACCGCAATTCATAGAAGAGAATGCTTTTTTTTTAACTTATTGCTCCCTGAACCTGCATAGATAAGGAATGTAAGGAAGGCTTCTCCAGAGCACAGAAGGCCAGGTGCAGAAGCTAGATTAGCTAGGGCATGTATGAATACATTCATCTGGAGAGGTTAGCAAGGAAAATAAAATGGAGGGGGAGGTTGCACAAACCAAGTTGTCCCAAAGATGGGGAAAGAAGACCTCACAGGGTATCTTTCATTCTCCTTCCTTATTTCACTTTTTATTGACCCAATTGGGGGGAGTAAACAGGAATCTCACATCAGCATCCACCACAATACAGAAATCTTCACTTGGACGTACACAACACTGTTATGAGAGCACCAGGATTTTTTTGGCACTTGAGGAAAAATCCCACAGTAATAAAAATAATGTGTGTGCCAGGATGCTGCTCCAAAATAACTTGATCTCAGTTTTCTTCATGAAAAGGAATATTAATTAAAGGGAAATTACACATGGCCTGTTGTTTTTTCATTCATAAAATCCAAGGAAGAAATGTAATGTTTCGAAAAACAGAAAAAAGATTGAAATCACTTACTGGAGCCAGCATCTACAGGTTAATTACTGTATTTACTAGCTCCTAGCTGTTTAAGGTGCATGGACACCATGCTTAAGGTCTATGTTTTTTTAAAATAATTCATATGGATCTATTGGAGCCTAGATTATATTCTATGGATAATACTGTATTTTTATGTGGTACATAGGTTTAGGTATCTTGCTGTGGAACCAGAGTTTGAGAGTTTGATTCCCCATTGTGCCTCCTGTGAGTAGAACCAGCCTGTATAGTCTTGGGAAAACTTCACAGTCCAAGGATCTCCCAAGAAGAAGTAAATAGTAAACCACTTCTGAGTATTTGTTACCTAGAAAACCCTGAAAAGGATCACAATAAGTCAGAATCGATTAGAGGAAACAATAAGATAAGAAATCAACCATTCTTCATTTCAAAAGGAAAAAAAAATCCAAGCTATCTAATGAACAAATGAAGTTGATTTTTAACACATCACTATTACTTCTTAGAGAGATATGAAGGAATAGGGGAGAACTTTGTTTCAGTTTATCTCATAAGAATTTTCCAAAATTTATGTAAGAGCTTCAGAGCTGGGCAGGAAAATCAAATGTAGAAGAAACATGGACTCAGATTCATCCAAACAAGTGCAGTTCTCTGAGTGCTTAACTCTGAGAAGTCTGGATTCAAGTCCTTGCATAATGAACCATGTTAGTGCTTAATTAGGTGCATCATCTTTGTTCTCTAAAAGTTTCCTCCTCATCAATGGTGGGCAGGCACAACATGGTCTTCCTCATGCTAGAAATAGTGATACCTCTTGAATTGTGCAGTACAGATGGGTGAAAATTGCATTTCAATTTGCTTTTGAAGAATTTTTTTAAAAAATTGATAATAGCATTTTCAGGAAACATTTTCAGGATTTTCAGTTAGTGGAATGCAGGTGAAAGTGACATGGACCGGTTTTCCCATTCTTAGTGAGACAACAACATAAAAGTCTCCCATGTCTATAACAGCTTTGCAGAAGAAAGATCAAGCAGGTTGCTTAAATCCCCCTTTCCACAAGAATATCAAAGGGGCAGAAATCAGATGCAGTACAGGATGCCTGATGGTTCATTCTGCCCCTTTAATAGTCCTGTGGAATAGGGGATTTAAGCAACCTGCTTGGTCCTTCCTTTGCATCTGATTATCCTGTTCTTTCTCCTCATTATCTTGATGAGTACTTGTGCACACAGATAACATGAACAAGCAAGACCACAATGATTCTAGTATCGGAATGGGCCTAAGAGGGACCATTAGTAAAATGCAGTTTCTGGTTGCAAGTAGAGGAGGCTCACTGAATCAATTGGATTTACACAAACATTCACCTACAATTTAGCAATTGATACAATGAGTCTACTCTAGTTAGCACCAGAAACTGCATGGGAACAGATCCTGCCCCTCCTCTGTATGACTACCTTTCAAGTACAGTATTTGAAAGTGCTATCATATCTCCCCTTATGTCAAAGCTAAACACGGCCAGTTCTTTCAGTCTTTCCTCATAAGGCTCCCCCGCCCCCCAGTCTCCTGATCATCCTTGTTGCCCTCTTCTGAACCTGTTCTAGTTTGTCTAAATCCTCCTTAATGTGCAGTGTCCAAAACTTGACACAATATTTTAGGTGAGATCTAACCAGTGCTCAATAGAGGGCGACTTGTACTTCACATCATTGAAAAACTATACTTTTGTTAATGCAGCCTATTTTTTCCCTACATGGAGGTTATCTCATTTGTAGAATGATACAGTATGTTGAGGTGATGCAAAATCAGTGGGCTAAGATCATTGATGCTTGCTGTCCAAGTTTGAAATGAGATGATCAGGAAAAGAGGAAGACAGATTTATTTGATCTCAGTATTTTCTATAGTGATAATCAGCATTGTTGTTACGTGCCATCAAGTCAGAACTGTGTTATAGCAACCCTATTAGGGC